TTTCAATCGAGCGCTGTACAACAGTTTTAGAAGATGCTAGCAAAGCATAGTCATGTGCAGACAGCAACCCTCTCGTCTCGTCATCTACGCTGATGCTCTCATCGCCTTGGCTGTGCCTGACTCTTCTATCCTTGTACAACCAGACAGAATACAGCCTTCGCGTAGACCAGTGCCAACCCTGAAAAGTCTCGACTTAACGCCATTTAGACTGACGCAGCACCCACTATCAGCTACCGTGATTGGATGGCCCGAAGCAACTGGTTGTTGATCCCATATGTTCATTCCCGGACATCCCCATGGACTGTTGTGAGCGAACTGGTCATTGGCTTTCTCTAAGTCAACAAAGCATATATCCACCGGATGGGCGAACTCCGACGATTTCTTAATTGTCTAGTAGGACGAATCTCTGGTTAGATGTGCTTCTGCGGGGCCTTAAGCCACACTGCATTTCTTTTATTTTGGAGTAAGTTATTCCGCGGCACCTTTTTTGCGTAGACTTTCCTCGGAAGGCTCAATAAGGTAATGCCCTGTTAATTGGAGCACTCCCTGTGGTCTCCCTTCTTTACTGGGGGTACTACAACCCCCTTTCTCGAATCCGTTGTCTTTTCCATAGTCTTTGCAGTTTGACAGACACGTTTAAGCCAACACACCTTGTTGGCCTATTGCTTTGAGCACTTCATGGCGGATTTTATCAATTCCAGCTGCCTTTCCACATTTAATGCTTTCCACTGCTTGTGAGATTTCACCTACATAAATACTAATATCCATTTCGTGCTGCTCTTCAGGCGAGTTTTCCTACGGTTGCTTGGGATTAAGGAGTTCCTCAGAGTACTTTCTTCTTGGCGGAAGAAAGTTTTCATCCTCCATAATAGATTGTCCAGACTTGTTATTCAAGACTTTTAGACAGCCCTTCTTTTAACTTTGGAGCAAGCGGGTGGTCTGCTAGAATACCTTGTTTCCCGTCTGGAGATTCATCTCCAATACCTCATTGAACTTCTCGCGGGAATCAGCGTTGGCTTGCGCCACTGCTTTCGCTGCCGCCTTGCGTTCTTCGGCATATCACACACGAGTAGAAGGCTCTGTTTCCTAGCCATTTCTTGAATGCAGCCCTTTCTTTAATTGCCAGTTGTACTTCTCGTTTCCTTCAAGATCTTTCCTGACCTCCAGACGACAGGCCAACCCGTTCAAATTCGCAGCATTCGGCGACAGCGTCGAGTATGCCGCTCTTAAAGAGCTGCCCCATTCG